CAGATGTTGGGAAATAACTATAAAAAAGATGTTGAGACTCTAGAAAAAGTACAGGGAAGACCAACCAGGATGATTAGGGAACTGGAGACTAAAACATATGAAGAACGGTGACAGGAACTGGGCATGACTAGTCTAATGAAAAGAAGGACCAGGAGAGACATGATAGCAGTCTTCCAATATTTCAGGGGCTGCCACAGAAAGGAAGGAGTCAAGCTATTTTCTAAAGCACCCGAAGGTCAGACAAGGAATAATGGATGGAAACTGAACAAGGAGAGATTTAACCTGGAAATAAGGAGAAACTTTCTGACAGTGAGAACAATCAACCAATGGAACACCTTAGCCTTGGAAGTTGTGGGAGCGCCATCACTTGAGACTTTCAAGAAGAGATTGGACTGCCATTTGTCAGAAATGGTGTAGGGTCTCCTGCTTGGGCAGGGGGTTGGACTAGATGACCTACAAGTTCCCTTCCAACTCTGATTATCTGTTATCTGTTAAGATGGAGAGTAAAAGGAGAAGGGGATGGCAGAGGATGAGATGGTTAGATAGGGTCATTGATGGAATAAACATGAATTGGGGCAAACTCTGGGAGATAGTGGATCAGGGTGCCTGCTGTGTTCTGGTCCACGGGGTCACAAAGAGACAGACATGACTTAGCGACTGAACAACAAAATGCAATACATAGTTGATGGTTGGAAGGGGTGTGCATGGGTGAATGTTTCAGTATTATATACAACATTGGTCAAATATGAATTAGTCTGACGTGATTGGTTTATTATCTGCATTTTCTAGCTTCACGTCCTTTTCTGTCTTAGTAAAGAAAAGCAGCTTATCAAGTGACTGAATTAAATTAGAAAAAGAAGGTGAGCTTTTTTCCCAAATTGATCAGGTCTCTTATTCATGTGAAATATGGATGGGGACGAGCGGGAGATTTTCCGTTCCCCAGGAAGAGGTTGTTCAATCTCTGGCTCCAGTTTTCTTCTTCTAAAGAGGGCTACTAATCCTAAGTAGCCTTGAAGAACATGATGTTTGTCCAAGTCCCCACATATATTTTTATTTTAATCAATGAAAGCCATGCTAGGGCTTAAGGAGTAATAAGACAGCACCTAATCAGAGGAGGCCCGCCTATCAACGCGAATAATCATTAACCTGCCAGCAGATAAACTGAAGGAAGAGGCATAACATTGGAACAAAGATAAAGGCCTGCAATTTAGCAAAGCAGCATGGAAAAAAATAAAATAAAATGCCTCTGAAACACTGGGTGATGTTGTTTTCCAGTTTTATCCTACGTTTTACTTTTCCATGGCTTTGGGGCACAAGGTCTGAGTTTCAGGCCCAATCAGGAAACTCTGCCTTTGCTGTTTTCAGGAACCGCTTCTTTCTCCAGCTTGTGGTGGGGCAGAGAAGGGAATGAAACTGCTCCAAACTTGATTGCAGAAAAAAATACGACTTCAGCAACAGAGTGGTCAATGCCTGGAATGCGCTCCCTGACTCTGTTGTTACATCCTCTAACCGTCCACTCCTTTAACCTTAAACTATCCATTATTGACCTCACCCCATTCCTAAGAGGTCTGTAAGGGGCGTGCTTAAGTGCACCATCGTGCCTCCCGTCCCTGTCCAAATGTCTCCTTTTATTCGTACCTATTTCCTGTATTCTTACTCGTGTTTATACTTATACCTATTATCTTGTAAGTGATTGACAAATCAAATCAATCGATCAATAAAAATAAATAATAAATAAAATAAACCCTCTGAGTCTGGGTCCCCTCATTCTCCCCCCCAAAAAGAGGACAATATCTCGATCCACTGCAGCTAGAGCAGTGGTCGCCAACCAGTGGGCCAGGGACCACTGGTGGTCCACGAGAAAATGTTGGTGGTCTGCAGAGAAATGTCACCCCCCAAAGCACCCCCCAAAGCAATCAATCCAGGCTGCACGGGAACACAAGGCTGTGCCACCCACATGGCCCACGGGAACACAAGTCTTGCATCGCATTGCGAACAACACAAGGTAGTGAGGGGAGGGGGGGAAGGGAGGAGGGGGGGAAACTTGTCCCACATGCCTCATGCACCTGGCCTGGCCACCGGGCTGCTTCTTTCTGCTTCTTTCTTCTGCTTTTGGCTGCATACAAGGAAAGCAGCGAAGTCTTTCTCTCTCCCCAATTCCTCCAGAAATTAGTCTTTGGGACCCTGCAAGGCATCCTGGTCCAAGAGGTTGCACTGGTGCGACAAAGACTAATTTCTGGCAGAGTTTGGGGGAGAGAAAGAAAGACTTCTGCTGCTTCTGCTGCTTTCCTTGCATGAAGCCAAAAGTTTCTCTCTCCCACCTCCCCTTGAGAACAGAGCTGGATAAGGTATCATGCGATCCCAAATAAAGAATGATTGATCGTTAGGAAAACATGGCGGGGAATTTTCCTGCAGACTTTTTGGGGGATTTTCCCAGGGTCTCTGGTCTGCGGGATTTAAAATTATGAGTTTGGTGGTCCCTGAGGTCCAAACGGTTGGCAACCCCTGAGCTAGAGCACAATCTTCCCAATTAGTCATAGGGTAAATGGATATTTGGGCCCAAACTGAACCTGTGAGGCAGTCGCTTTGTGAATAAGCACGCGTATTTCAGGTCTAGGATAACTCACCGTGGCCAACTTGCTGTAGTCATCTTGCCATAGTCAACTCGGCACCGCCATCTTACCATGGCCATCTCGTTGTGCCAGCTTGCCACGAGTCAACTTGCTTTGGGACAAATGCACATGGCATAACCCAATAAAATTCAAATTTTGGAAATAAACTTGAAGAATTAGTAGTAGATAATATTTATTGCAGGTTGGCCACAGCAAAGTGACCACAGTGAGTTGTGCCATTTTGTGCCTCTCTGCGGTGGCCATTTTGTGAGGATGCATGTGGCCAACCATGCTCATTGACCTAAAAGTTTGTCTTATTCCGGAGACAGAGCATATGGACTTTTCAAAAAAACTGGAATGTTATTGTACAAAGCACTTCTTCCCGAAAGACAGTTTTAAAATATTCCTCCTATTCATTTTCCCCTTAAAATGAAGCTTGTCCTGCCCTGCAAAGTATTAGAAATAGACAGCAGACTCTGACAGCACAAGTAGATGAGCACCTCCTAGAGTAATATGCAAGTAGGATTCCAGAATCAGGTAGAAAGTAATACAAAAAGAGGTCATGGTGATGTTTTGTAATGACACAAGCAATCAAAGACCATAGGCCAATTAAGCTGAAGTGGTATAATCAATCAGAAATAAAACCAGCACAAACACCTTGATATATTCCATATAAATATCAACCAACCCTAAATAAAGCAAGCTAATTCTTTAAATTGAATCACAAACTTAGATTGTAGAAATTGCAAGATCTTTTTAGATATTTGTATCTTAGGAATTATTTTGTTTCATACAAAACAGAACACTCCTGTGTAAGGGATTTTATAAATCAGGGAAGCACAGTTTAGTCTGTAGACTAGAATTGTAGCCCAACGTTGGGGCACCATCTTGTGGATATAACTTACCTAGCAGCTTTTTCAAAACCACGCTGATTTTCCGTGCATTTTAACCACAATGATGGTTTCTTCTAGGGCTATAGGGCAAATAGTTTGAAAGAGGAACACACACACACACATACACACACACACACACACACACCAGTGAATTAAAAGGGCTGTCCATGAACACACACACAGAGGCAGCAGGGAAGAGCTCCCAAAGCAGCCACATATTCCTGGGAGAAAAAAACAAGGTTGCCTTAATAGTCTGAAAAAAGGGCACTTCATACTTGCTTTTCTAAAGGATTTCTTTTGAAGAATTTGCACAACTGTAATAGCTGAGGTTACCAGAAGAGGAACTGTTGAACAAGTGAGAAGACTGAATGTCTTCCACACACAAGAGTTGTGACATAGAGGGGTTCATTTGATGGGTAGAAAACAGGTCATTTTTTTCTTTTCTCACTCAGAAATTGTTTTATGAGATAGCCTCTAGAATTCTAAGAAGGCTGTAATACCAGTTATATCTATTTCCATTCACCAGCTCTATAATGAAACAAAGTGTAAGAACAGTCTTTTTTTTAAAGATGTATTTCTCTCTCTGACAATCCATGTGCATTTCATTCAAAAAATGGGACTGAGATGCCAAATTCTGACAAAAAAGGATGCCTAAGTCCTGGGAAAATAGGTAACCTGTAAGAAAAATTGTAAGAAAGTAGGAAAATTGGGAAACTAACTGCACAGCTAGATGGTGGTTCCCTGGTGGTTCACAAAATTAAAAGTCCACAGTACAGAAATTCACAAACCTCTGCAAACAATTCATCGTTGACTAGAATACCATACCAATAAGCAGTGCCAGCATACCATACCAGCAGGTTGAACAGGGTGCAAACAAGCAGTGATTTCCAACCATCTACATGACATTTAAACCCCCAGTACACACATACACACAGAGCATGTGTGTCTGTACTTCAAAAGTGTTTGAACGTGGAAATTGGGATGGACAAGGGACTTTGACTGAATGCAACATGGGGCTTGAAAGTGAGAAAAATGAAAGTGCGTGTTTTATGCAGGGGAGTAGGTGAAGAAAAAGAAACTAGCAAAACTAGCAAAACATTTCAAAACATGAAAAACAATCAAACTCCGGTTAAGAAACTCTCTGGGTTAAAGGGGGCTATTCTTCTTTCCCCTCTTCCTGACTGCCTCTTCTTTTGTGATAACACATAGGTGATCAAAGATATGCTAACGCCATGACAGCTTGTAGGGTTGCAGCACATTCCATGTCTTTCTTCCTGCCACCACCCCTCCCCCCCCCCACCTCATTTAAGGAAGACAGCAAGTAGAGCTGAAGTTCCATTAACCGGCAGGTCTAGAGTAGTTTACAAAAGGTAGCTGTAAAGTCTTTCTGAGATATTGAAAAGTGATTGGAGAATTCAGAAGCATTGCATTTTGATTCCATGGCAGCGCCCATGTTGGCCAGATGTTCTTATTTTTCCTTGCTCTTCAGCTGGACTCAGTATCTGGAGGCCATGTCTAGCCACTGGTTGTTTAGAAATGAAGAATAAAACAAGGGAAATATAATTTAGCCAAGGGGACATGTGCTGAACTTTTAAATTATTATTACTACTACAAATTTTTGACGCCCCCGCCCCCCAACAAAATCATATATCTTAATCCTTTGAAAATAATTCACTAAACTGAACTATCACTCTTCAAAAAAATTTTAGACAGAATTATGCAAAGTTGTACTGCAGCATTATTTAAAAACTAACATCATCTGCATTTCATGATCCAGTGCTGCTGGTTCTCTAAATTTCAGGGATACATATTCCCTGTTAAGACTAGCCATAGCTCATGAGGAAGCATTCTAATAGGGCTGCCTATTTTTGCAGAGAAAAAGGAAAACTGACTTTAGACTTTGAGTGCCATGCTAGGACTCACATTGAACAAGTAAACAGCCCTGGACAAAAATTTACACTGTAATTTAATTTAGTTGGGTCAAAATTAAAAGAATGCAGCAGTAGTTAATTTAAAATAAAACTACTATGGTGGTCGTGGGTTCCTGTGATAGACAAGGAATTTAGATTAGAGCAGTTCACAACCATGATGATTTTAATATGTGTGGACTTCAACTCCCAGAATTCCCCAGCCAAATAGTTGTGATAGGATCTCCATGTTTTTTCCCCAAGTTATACATTCAATGATGCTATCAATAGAATAAATAATCCCTCGTTATTTAATTACAATTCCTATTTGTAGATTTGTGGGATGGGAACTAAATCCTCCTGCAAACCAAAGGTCTCAAGCTGTGCATCTCTGCAATACAAAAAGGCACCTTAAACACTCAAAGAGCCACAAAGATCCTAACCAAAAGCCCCCCATTCAATTCTGGAGCCGACCAGACTCTATGGCGGTTCCCCCATCATAGTCTCCTCCTAGTGCGGTGTCCATTTTCCTCTACCTATCCTAACTAAAAGCCCTATCCATTGTGGAGCCAACCAGCAACAGGGAGACTCAGCAGAGAGATGAAAGAGCCACATGCGGCTCCAGAGCCACAGGTTGCTGACCCCTGCAATAAGCCAACCAGAGAATTTGGTTGCAGCAAGGAAACCAGACATTTAACATCTAGGATGTTGATTTCCAAATACAGATGCTGTCCCTGTTCCAGGCATTCAGAGAAGAAGCTTCATGATGCTTTCTAGCTACTGAACACAACATAAATCCAAATGAGGGTTTTTAGTTACTGCTCAGAGCCCTGGGACTGCCCTGTCAGTGGCAGCTCAACAGATCAAGGATACAGGAATGTGTGACAAACAGAAAGTGCAGTGAGACTGGCCAAAGTGGCTATCTTCTAAAATAAACATACTTTCCATTTATTGGAAAGGATGGAATCTGCTTTATCTCACCATGAAGATTTTCATGCCACTGCAAAGATAGGAACCTAGATTTTGGGGAAATTCTGCCTGCCTGAGAAAAAAAAAATAGAAGCCACCTATATATTACACACACACGCACACGCACACACACACACACACACAATATAATCTCAGCCATATTCATGTTTAAACTTCCCCTGAAACGGCCACTCACGTTATCATTGCTATAATCTTGCTCAGGAACGTAGCCTCTATTTGCAGCTCCTCCTTTGTAGAAATTGGTTGGGTTCTCAGCAGTGGCTTTGCTCAATGGTGTGCCATTCGTAGCTTGGATTCTGGGGAACATTCTCCCACTTTCAGCAAAGTTTGTGGCAGGAGGAACGCCATAAGGATTGCCCGAGGTTGAATACTCATTGCTTACCAATTGTCGCTCTTCCATTTTAGGCTTCCGTTTTCTTTTATACAAAAAGAAAGGGCAATCATAATGACATTCAAAATCTGTCTTCACTTTTTGTGCTCATCTTGGCTTTTTCTTCTTAACAAAGCTCCCTAGGAGTTGTGCAAAGTTTTGTGACAGAGGTGATGATGAAGCTAACTATTCATATCAATACAATTTACAAGTACATGCCCTGTAAAAGGGAATTTAGGATCTCAATCATTTTAGTAAAGGAAATTTCATAAACCCAAGTAATCATGACCACTTTTGATTGCCATTTTTAAACTCTTTTTTCCAACTCTGCAATATTCTTTTTGAGTTAAGTTTACCAGATTCCTAGGTTCATCAAGATACTAGTTGTTACAACGGTATTATTGATTATTTCATTATTTGTCTTCATATCAGCCTTGAAGTGCACAAGACAGCTAAATTTCTACAATAAAATGAAAACACACTTTTCTTTTTACTCTAAATAATAATGAGGGGGACCTTTCCTAATGATCCCCAGTTTAAAATTCACTTTTTCATAACCGCTCTGCCCTCTCTTACAATGCCTTGCCTGCCATAGTCTAATTTCTGCTCAATTGTCAGAAGTTTTAGTGTATCCGTGGTTACAAATGTTTGTGCCAATGTAGTTCTGTGTATGCTGTTGAACTTAACTTGCCATTTTAATGCTCATTCTCTTTCAATTTGGACAATCCTTTTGCTTCTCTTTGTTATCCTTTTTTTGTCTGTAGACACTCATGCGTTGGCAAATCTGGCAACTTTACTGCTCAGCTCTAACCCCTTTTGTGAACAATTGAGAAGGATTAGTTCCAATTAAGAGCCCTGGAAGAGCCCTCTGTTTTCCTCCTTTCCATAGAAGAAGTGATTGTTTCTAATCTGCTTTTTTTATTTTTCATCGGTAACTGTTCAATAGAATAACGTCTTTTCTTATCCCACGATTAGTGTACTGTACAACTGGGAGTGTTGGAAAGAGTAACTCGACAACTAGTGGAAACTCAGGGAAAATGTAGGCCTTTTTAAAATGCTAGCTATAACTAATGTTTGCATGTTTTCAATATTTTATGTCAGGGGTCTCCAAAGTTGGCAACTTTAAGACTAGTGGACTTCAATTCCCAGAATTCATGGCTGGTTGAAGAATTCTGGGAGTTGAAGTCCTACGGGTCTTAAAGTTGCCAAATTTGGAGAGCCTTGTTTTATGTGACAGTTTCTTTGTGTTGTGCTTTAATCCAGGTGGACAATGAACACCTCTCCCATTTTTGTGACTTATGAACCCGTCCCTGAAAGTGCACCACTAAAAAGTGTATTGAAATTGTTATTTTGTGTGTCACAATATTTTGTTCCTTTTCACGGTGAGGCTTAAAAATTGGTGATTTAAGGTTAGTTTGATCTTAATACTGACCTTTGCTTAATTTGTTTGAAAGGACCTGGGTGTCTCCCATGCATATGTAGTAAGAGGAAGATACAGGTAGTCCTTAACATACAACACAATTGAGCCCCAAATTTTCACTGCTAAGTGACATAGTTAAATGAATTTTGTCCCATTTTACCACTATTTTGCCACAGTTGTTAAAATGAATCACTCCAGTCTTTAAGTGAATCATATGGTCATTAAATGAAACTGGCTTCCTCCATTGACTTTGCTTGTCAGAAGTTGGCTGGGAAGATTACAAATGGTGATCATGTGAACCCAGGACAGTGCAACTGTCATACATGCCAGTTGCCAAGCACCCAAATTTTGATCACCTGATCATGGGGTGCTGCAACGGTCATAAATGTGAAAAACAGCCATACTTCACTTTTTTAAAATAACTTTGAACGGTCACTAAATGAATGGCTGTAAGTCAAGGACTACCTGCATATTTATACGGAAGCTGAATCTGTGACAAGATTGACGAACACATTTAATCAGCCAGTCCATTCATGCATCACCTAATAGCTTTGAATTCCAAATTAAACTATGAAATTCAGAATCGCCTCATGTCACAAACTTTTTAATAACATATATTCATACACCCCCAAAAGCAGGGGTGGTATTCAGCTGATTTGGACTGGTTCAGGCGAACTGAATGTTAAATTTACATCTGGTTTGCCAAAATAGTAGTTGAACCGACTGGCTGGCCCCGTTTACCCCACTCCATCCCTCCAAGGAGTCTCCACACAGCCTGTTTTGGATGCAGATAAATTCTGGGTCTGCACAGAGGCTCGGGCGGCGGGGGGAGAAACAGGCCTCCTGGCAGTTCCAGAAGTCCAGAAATGGGCCTGTTTCTGGCTTCTGGAGGGCCTCCAGAGCCCAGGGAGGCGTTTTCACCCTCCCAGCGGCCTGAGGAAAGCCTCCGGAGCCTGGGGAGAGCAAAAAACAGGCCTCCCAGAAGTTCTGGTAGGCCACACCCACTATGGCCATGCCCAGCCAGCAACTGGGCAGAGAACCGGTTGCTGGGATTTTGAATGCCATCCCTTCCCAAAAATCATTTGTACCTGACCAAGACATTTGAAACCGAAGCACCGCATAATGGAGCTCCCATTACTTGCCCCAGCTTCTGCCAACCTAGCAGTTCGAAAGCATGTACAAATGTAAGTAGAAAAATAGGACTACTTTGGTGGGAAGGTAACAGTGTTTCATGCGCCAGCGGAGTTTAGTCATGCTGGCCACCTGATCATGGAGACGTCTTTGGACAGAGCTGGCTCTTCGGCTTTGTAATGGAGATGAGCACCGTCCCCTAGAGCTAGAAACGACTAGCACGTATGTGCGAGGGGAAACTTTACCTTAAGATGCAAATGGTTACGCCAATTAAAGCCACCAGAAGAACACCGCATAAGGTAGATATTCCTATGATGATGGCCATGTAACCTGAGAAGAGATTTCAAAATTACCATGGCTACCATATGAGATCTTCTAATACTTTTATTTTTGCATTGTTACATATAAAGGAAAATAGATTTTAATTTTTTCTGTCACGTATGGGGCTATTATTTCTTGTTCTGTTTTTTCTAACCTCTCCCCACCTTTTAAAAAAAAGTTATTCTTCTTTTCCATTCTGGATTGTCTCTGCATAGAGAGGTCTCTCACTTTGGATGGAATAGGCAGAAAGTAACAGAGATTCCCCTATGCTTATCAAATCACATGTTGACAGGAAGACAATTAAAGGTCACTGATTGCTTGATTTTATCCGAATTGATTTAATTGCTCCTCATCCCTAGGAATTTTTGATTCTTCTTTTTCCTTTGGAAAAAGTGAATGGGAAGGAAATGAAGAAATAAATCATTTCTGAGATACAATATAAGTGAAAAAAATATCCATTTGAAGATGAATGGAAGGAGAAGGAAATTCAAATATTTTATCATCTGATAGGCATAATCACCTAGGTAACTTTGTTAGGAATATAAGTCACCTAACAGGTATTTGGGTTAGAAATAGGATAGACATTTTAGTACTATATCTTTACGAAAATGCAAAACTGTAGTTGGATGTGGTTTTTCAAATGGCCACAAGACGGAGCTAGAAACCTGGGTTGTTTTAGTCTTAGTCTCAGAAGAGAGTGTGTCTGAGTGAGTCTCTCTGTTTCCTTCTGTTGGAAAGTATTTCCGTTCCTCCATTTTTCCTAATTGACTGATATTTTTGGATTTAATGTAAGTCTGATACTGAACTGTTTTTGACACTGGAATTTGTTATTGAATTATCCCTGGATTGAAAACTGACTGATTTACCTGTGAATGATTTTGGATTGCTCGTTTGGACTTTGCTTAACGTTTCTGGAAGTAAAAACCTACATTTACTGTACAGTGTATCTGTGTGCTCTGTGTGTATTATTCCAACACTACTCTCTATACGTCTCCCTGTATGCACTCATTCTCCTAATGGGAAATTACCTCAACAAACTTCATAGAAAGATTTCGTTGAGGCTTTCTTTCATTGGAAAGCAGTAGCCTCTTGGGGTTCAGAGGGTTTTTGGGGAGAAAGAAAGAGGGGGGAATTTAATTGAAAGTGAACCAAATGCAAAGTGCCAACAAAAGTGGGGGAAAGCAGAGCCTTGTGTTAAAGTCTAAAGTGTGAGTGACAAATTATGCGACTGAACCCGACCACATAAAATTGGCTGCGTTCTATGATATAACTTTTATAACATACATTCACGATGCTGAAGTGAAATAATATCCTGTTTATAACACTTTATATCCCCCACTCTGTGAGGAAAACAAATTTTAAAACAAAGTTAAAGCAAGAAATGAACAAATCTTTCTCCGGGGGAGGCGGGGGGGAACCTTTTGGTTTTGTGGAAAGAGTTTCCACAGGACAACATTGTGTTATGATCATCTTAGGAAACATAAGACACATTATTACATTTTGGTAGCAGGATTCTTTTTTGGAAAGCTTAGAATATCTGAGTCCCTTGGTTTTGACATTGCTAAACTTCAGCTGCGGCAACTGGGTATGCTTCAAGAATTTATTTGGTCCTGAGCAAAACATAACTAGCGACTATCTCTTTGAAGTTCTTCATAATATATATTTATGAGATATTGCAACAGAGATGTTCTACAAAGGTACTTGAAATGGTACAGTGCAACAGAGGGGTGTCCATAGAAGCTTGCTGCTTTCATTAGAAAGATGAGAAGCAGTGATATTGTACTGCAAGGTGTGTGGCTCTTTTATACATGAATATGGCATCAGAAGGCTCGTACAAATGTACTCTCCTACGCTCACATCCACCTCAAATTATGCTTATGGAAAATATAACCTTAAAAATAGCAGTTTTCAGTGAGGGGGTGGTTCAGAAATGGTTCTCTATGTATGTCTGTATGTGGTATTTCTCCTTATGTTTTCTCAATGAATAGAAGTTTCATGTTGGGGCTTTTCTGATATAATTTATATTATAGATGGTCTACCATATCTCTCCCCCTAGAAATAGTTTTCAGTTTTAAATAAAATATTCTCCTTGTAATACATACTATCTTGGCAGCCTTCTCCAGAAAATCCAATGCTGCACCTAAAAGCAAACACAAAATATCATCGTGTGAGTAATTGATGATGTATCAAGATTTCTCCCATGTGGGTAGTCCTTGACTTACAACCGGTTGTTTTGTGACCACTCAAAGTGTGATGACCCAGGGTGTGGCACAAAGATATTTTTAATCTAATGATTGATATTTAGGGCAGCTTTTTGCAAGCAAAGAAGCCTTTTGTATTTTTGTACAGATAATCCTTGACTTACAACAGTTCATTTAGTGACCATTCAAAGTTACAATGGTACTGAAAAAAGTGACTTATGACAATTTTTCACACTTATGACCGTTGCAGCATCCCCACTGTCATGAGAGACCAGGCGAGGAGAAGCACCCCTTGCATGAGTGATGTCGAGTTGGCCACGCCTACCTAGTCACATGACCACCAAGCCACACCCACCAACTAAGTCACACCCACAGAACTGGTTGTTAAAAAAACTGAATCCCACCCCTAGAAATAGTGTTGTAAAATTAGATCGTATGGGTGCTTTGAGTTACGAGTATCAGGACATACATTCCTGGCTCTGTTATGGTTGTAAGTTAAGGACTACCTGTAGAAGGATTGTTTTATTTATAGTGGGAGAACATATTGTGTATAACTTAGGAGCATATGTTTTTCTATGTCTTAGATGAGCTTCTTTTTTTTCTTATGATGCATATTATCATGATATGACTAAACTGGCTCCCACATCTCTCTCTGCAGTTAATGTCTGCTTAGAAAAGACTAGCAGACTGCAAATCATCCTATGAAATCATATCATTTTGGCGCAGCAGTCAAACTCTGGTCAGCACAAGAGGCTAGGCAACCTTGGTCATTCTTGGAATACAAAGAAGCCTAAATCGCTCTCTCAGGAGGCCAAAAGAGGAATGCCAGTCTACAAAGGAAGTCAGGGGAAAAAGGCAATGACAAACTGCTTCCATTTTGTTTTTCACAAAAACGACATGGGCAGGTCCACCCATTCACAAGGGATGAAGATACATTGGAGGAGGACGGCTTTCTTAATCACATACTTACGCTTCACATCCTGCATCCTTTTTCTCGAAATTTGGCAGACATCGGCATTCGGGGACGAGATTTTCTTTCATGAAACAGAATTCATTTTTTTCTGCAGAACAGCCTTGACAGGCTGCACTCAGGAGGGGAGGAACAGATAATAATTTAGGATTAGCAAAGCATTGACTGAAAATAGGTCATATGGGAACCAAAGCAAGGCAATGGCAGTCCAGTGGTTCCTTTAAACATTTAGATCCAGCTCCCAGAGGCTCCATTTTGGCCTGCAACAGGCTGAGGAGGCCTCCAGGTGCTCCATTTCAGCCAGCAATAGGGCAGAGGAGGCCCACGGAGAGATGAACAGAGTGTCAGAGGGATTCATCCCTCAGAATCTTCATTTTGGCCAGCAACCTGTGGGCGAGGCCCGCGGAGGCTCAAACAAAGGGGTGCAGGCAGAGGCTGGAGAGGAGAGTGCTTGCTAGATCTTCACAAGGTAAGTGACCTGGCTCGGCAGATTGGGCAGATTGGGGGAAAACAATTGTGGGAGCATGAAGTATTTCAGAGGGTCAGTGAGGCCTTGGATAGTCTTAAGTAGGTTACCTTTCCCATCACTTGCCCCGCCCATGGCCTTCCCCCCCCTGAAATACTTCATGTGCACTTAACGAGCGAATGCGTGGGCAAAAGGAAGGAATGATCCCACTCAAGGTACGAGATTCACTCCCACAAATCCTTGGGTTACGAATGGAATGCGCAGGCTCCATTACATTCATACCTTGAGGAGTACTTGTATGCAACCTTTGAGGATATATTGCATAAATAAACTGAGCAGAGATTCGCTGATTATATTCTTACTTCAAATCATTTCTTAAATTAGTACTTTCTTCTGCTAGATGTATTCCTTAGAACCTAATTTTAAAGGCACTTTCTCAAAAAGTACTTTTTCAGAAATAAGAAGTATGGGAACTATATGTATGGAGACAATTCCCAGTCTCCCAGAGTTACAAAGGGAACAGGGGTGGGATTCAAATTTCTTAACAACCAGTTCTGTAGGTGTGGCCTAATTTGTGGGTGTGGCTCGGTGGCCATGTGACTGGCTGGGTGTGGCTTGTATATAAATATTATAAATATTTATATAAGTATTTAATTTTTTATAATTAAAAAAGCAACTTTTACCCAAAATCAGTCAAAGCAGGCAAGCATATTGAGTTGCTTGCAGAAGCACAGATTCACTCAGAGATCTATCTTCCTGCAATCTGCTAGCTGAGTCTGTCACATAAAATTTGCTTGCAAGCAAACTCATAAAATTTGCTAGCAAGCAAAGTCACAAAGTTAACTCACAACACACCATGTATATAAATATTGAATTTTTTATTTTAAAAAGAGCAACTTTTACTCAAAATCAGGCAAAGCAGGCAGGCAGATTGAGTTGCTCACAGAATCACAGATTCATTCAAAGGTCTATCTTTCTGGAATCTGCTACCTGAGTCTGTACAGAAAAATAGAAGCTTCAGTCCTAAGGAAGGTTCAGCTCTGTTTTTAGATTAGCTAGAAAGCAAGAAATCCAACGATTTCCTGCTTTCTAGCTAATCTAAATCTCTCTGCACAGCAGAACTGCTGATGGTCAGGGGGAAAAAAAGGAAAAATAGCAACTTAGCAGCAAGTTTGATGGCGTGCATACCAGGTAAGGAGTGAGTGGGCGGGGCAGGGCCAGCCAGTGGTACATTTTGCCGGTTCCCTGAACCGTGCAGGATTGTAACAACTGGTTCTACAGAACTGGCCCAACTAGGTAGAATCCCACCCCTGAGTGGGAAGCTCCAAAATTTAGGATTCCATTTGTGGCTCTCATTATTTTATTAATGCCTATTTCTAGAATAATGTTTCTAACATGTAACACACATGCATATATATGTGCACATGCACATATAGAGTGATTCAGTGAGTGGTATCATTTCACTTTTTTAAAAAAAAATAGAAAAAAAATAATTATCTTCTGCCATAAAAGGCTATTGATTCGCAAAACCATATTTAATAAGATACTCTGGTTTATGCTAGACAGCTAACCACATTTACCTCAGAAAATTGCCTTCAAAGTCTTACCTCGACAAGTTTTGTCTTCTAAGTAATTCTTAGCCATGCCTGGTTTACATTCACATGTTGGAATCCTGCCCTCAACATCCTTGCAGTCTGTAGTGTCTTTATCACAGAAGACAATATCACAACCTGATATACCTATAAAATGTAGAACAGCATGGATAAGTAGCTGGAGAGGAAACAATATCTCCCTCAATAGTAGACATTCAAGGACTTCTACTCAGTGGCGGAGTCCATGATTTTGCGTGCAAAAGGCCCAGGTTCTGCTCCTGACATTTCCAGATAGAGCTGAAAAAATAATAAAATCCTATGGAATTGGTGCCAGTGAGTATGACTGGATTGTAACTGAATTTCACTTCAGTTTCTAATGGCACAAGGGAAGCTTTTTGGAAGGAATGTGTTTTTTCTCTCTATGTCTTTTGAAATTAACTAAATACCTGAACTGGACATGTCAAAATCTGGTAGAGTGGTTAAATATTTAAATATATAAATTTCTATTGAGTTACGATCCTTAGACAACTAATGCTGCTGGTTGATTAAGTTATACAGTGGTATTTATTTTATTTAAATACTAAGTTAAAGGCCTCACGAATACAGAATTTAAGTCATACATTTCCAGGACTTTGAATTGTAATTCTTCCAAACCTCCAAATACCTATGCAAGGGTCCTCTTTGTAGATTTCAGTTCAGCATTCAATACCTCATTCCAGATATTCTTCTAAGTAAATTAAACCAACTAGTGGTACCTGAACACACTTGTAAGTGGATCATAAGCTACCTAACAGACAGGAAGCAGCAGGTGAAGCTAGGCAGAATCACATCTGATACCTGTAGAATCAGCACAGGGCCCCCCCAAGACTGTGCTTTCTCCACTTCTCTTCTCCCTATATACCAATGACTGCATCTCAAACAATTCATCAGTTAAAATACTGAAGGTTGCTGATGACACAACAGTGATTGGTCTCATTCGAGACAACAACAAATCCACATACAGACAGGAGGTTATACAACTGTAACCGGAACAATCTGGAACTGAACACAAACCATAGAAATGGTGATAGACTTTAGAAGAAACCCTCCCACACTACCACCTCTTACAATACTAGACAACATAGTATCAACAGTAGAGATCTTCAAATTTCTAGGTTCTACTACATCACATGACCTAAAATGGACACCTAACATCAAAAACATCATCAAAAAAGCACAACAAAGAATGTTCTTTCTGCACCAACTCAGAAAGCTCAAACTGCCCAAAGAGCTGCTGATTCTGTTCTATGGAGTAATTATTGAGTCTATCATCTGCACCTCTATAACTGTCTGGTTTGATTCTGCAACCCAACAGGACAGATACAGACTTCAGAGGATAATTATTATTGCAAAAAAACAATTACTACCAACCTGCCTTCAACCGAGGACCTGTATACTGCACGAATCAAAAAGAGGGCTGTGAAAATATTTACAGACCCCTCACATCCCAGACATAAACTGTTTCAACTCCTTCCCTCAAAACAATGCTATAGAGCACTGCACACCAGAACTAGACATAAGAACAGTTTTTCCCTGAAAGCCATCACTCTGCTAACCAAATAATTCCCTCAACACTGTTCAACTATTACAAAATCTGCACTACTATTACTGTTAATCTTCTCATCACTCCTTATCACCTCCCACTTGTGACTGTATGATTGTAACTTTGTTGTTTGTATCCTTACGATTTATATTGACTATTTCCTAGTATGATTTGATTGCTTATTGTACCCTATGACTATTATTGTGGCGTACCTTATGATTCTCGACTCTTGACGAATGTATCTTTTCTTTTATGCATACTGAAAGTACCGTATTTCCCCATGTATAAGCACCCCCTTTGTATAAGCCACCCCCCCAATTTTTGGACTGTGAAGTTTTGAAAAAAATATTTTATTAGAGAAACAAGTTATGAAGAAAGAAAATTTACAAAGAAACAAAATTCGACGTCTAGATCTACAACTTCGGTCATGACGCCGAAAGCGGTGCAGGCGACGCTAGCAATCTACGCATCGGAACGAGAGTAGGAACGAAGCATTCAGGCCGATGCCTAGCGTACGCATTTCTATCGCGTACTCGCACTCGTAATCGTATCATCATGTACAATTTTTACAAAAAAGTATAGCATACTGCTGGAAAACCAGTTTATTCCTACTTTATTATTTTATGCATTTTTCACGTATAAAAAGTGTACCTGCTTTGTATATGCCACCCCCCTACTTTTTGGGCTTGAAAATTTTGGAAAAAAGGGGTGGCTTATACATGGGGAAATACGGTATTTACACCAAGACAAATTCCTTGTATGTCCAATCAAACTTTGCGAATAAACTCTTCTCTTCTCTTCTCTTCTCTTCTCTTCTCTTCTCTTCTCTTCT